AAAATACCATCTGCTTTTAGTATAAAGCTGACGTGGAGGGGGCTTAAAACATTAAAGCCCATTTTTTAGCGCTATTCCACATGGGGCAAAGTACAGGGGGGCTAGTCACACGAAATTCCCACTTTTGGGGCCTGGACACATTTTTCCCAAGATAAAATTCTCCATACCGAATGAGAAAATAAAAGAAAATTTTCTGAGTGATATAAGGCCCACGTATCTTCATGCTACTACATTACCCCTTTCGCCCCCCATACGTTACACCACCTATTCCCACGGCACCACTCAACACGTCCAGGGACTGATCATTTTTAAGGATCGTATCACCTTTCAAATAATTTTGAGCATTGTTAAGCCAATTTGTGAGGGCCTATCATGAGCGTCATGCTGCGAGCCCCAAAGACAATCAATTACTTGGTTCAAATTCAGTTTTTATACGTCAAACCTCTTGTGAGTCTAAAAGCCATTTGCTGAGCGACATCGATCACAGTGTCTTGCTCATGGTTCCGACCATCCAGTCAATTTAGATTCACGTACGGTCAAGAGATGAGCCGTGTTGACTCCTCACTCCCAACCGTCTCTCATTCCCTGTCCTAAATAACTTCAACAAATATCTTAAGTTTGGTGTTTTCCTTGCTATGTTTTTATTAAAAAAATATTATGTTGTTATGTTTTTTCTTAAGAAGTTTCTAAAACATCATGTTGAGTATTTTTTGTCAACACCAGTTTAACCTATTACAACATTAGTATTAAACATATTATTAATATATTATATATTAAGTATAATAAAGTATATTATAAATAAAATATTATAGTATTTAGTTAATTACATTATTATAAGTATTAAATATAATATAATAAATATTGTATAATATATTATAACATTATATCGTACTTTAATGAGTTACATTATATTATAATTAATATATGTTACTTTTAAAATAATATTATTTTATTATTAATATTATATTATACTATTATTAATATATTATAATATTATTAATAATGTTCATATTATGTTATTACTAGTATATTATTAAAAAATTAATATATTATAACTATTTTAATATTATATAATCTATACTATGATTTTTGTTGATGTACTAGTGATCACACAGACAATACATATCCAGGGCAGGATAATTTCGATGAGGTAGAGGAGATTGATGAGGGGATCGCCTTCTTCTCCAACTTTATGTCTGGTTTTTGAATTGGTGTTGCTGAACAATTTGCACATGTAGAAACTCGTGAGAGGACGGGTATTGGTTCCCTCGTTGTACCTTTGACGATCAAGTTAGATGACGAACTTGAGTGGAAGAGAAACAACCGAACTTAGAGTACTCCTTCTGTTTCTTTATTTTAGGATTGCCCCCTCACTAAAAAGGCGAATAGTACGTGTATTTTGTTCGCGGGAAAAATTATTTTCATTGAAGTCATTGTTTTCTTGAGCAACAGTTTATCGGTTACAAAAGATTCGGTCTTTTTATAAGATCCGGTTACAACAAAATCAAAATAAAAAGAAAATTACAACTTTTTTTTTCTGGAACAAATCGCAAGATCCTGTTTTGCGGTCTCTTGCTTGTGTGGGTTCTTTGCGCCGTGGTTAATCCGTGGACCACCGCGCGATCTTGATCCGGTCGGATCTACACGGTATGACAGGTGTTATTTCACGAAGGAAATAACAGCCGAGGGGATTATTTCGCCAAGGAAATAATAGCCCTAAGTAATCAAAATCGACCAAGCGAAATCGATACTCTTCTCGGGATAAAAAACCAAGTTTTGATCCGGAGGATGACCGTGTAGATCTCAGATCTGATCTCTCTCGAACTCCTGCCTTATTTGGCGTGGATGATCGCCAAGAATCAGATCTGAAAAGTCTGAGTCTTCAAAGCTCCAAAGCTCCAACCTTTTTTTAGTCTTGAGCCTTTAATCCAGCAGAGTTTCCCCTCAGAAGTTCCACCAAAAGTCCAACCCTTCAAAAATGAGCCCTCCTTCTCTATTTATAGGCATCTCAAACCAGATCTGGGCTCAGATCTGGGCCCAGATCTGGGTGGCTCGGCCAGGTGGCTCGGCCAGGTGGCTCGGCCACCTTCCGCACGCGAGTGGATTTATTCCGTTGTTTGCGTACGGTTCATTAGCTTCGTAGCCTCGTTAATCCGCTTCGTCGCGTATCACTTGGCTTCGGCGTTGTGGACTAACAATTGTGTCTGCATACGTCGCCCGGTGGTCGGTTCGTCGAATTGGCGTTGTTGAGCTGTGTTAAGGGACCTATAGGCATTTTTATACCCCTACAGATACCCCCTCCAAAGTATTTCAGCCTCATTCTTTTATAGAAGAGTCTGGAATACTTTGGATATGATTGTCCCAACCTTCAATTGGTGTAACGAGACCTTGGAATGGCTTCTATTATTGATTCTTTTATTCCTCCAGGCTATTCATCGCTTTGTCGAATGTCTGCAAGGGTTCCGGTGCTGCATTTATTGTCTGACCGTTGTCGGAATTTTGAACTTGAAGTTAATTCCTGATTTTCTGATCTTTAGCTCGTGTTTGCTGTTTCAACATAGAACCGACCATCGATTGTTGGTGTTGAGTCTTCATTTGCAACGCGTTGTCCGGCGTTTGACACAGTTTATACTCGTGCGTCTGCTGGAGTCTTGAGAAGTAGTTTATACTCTTATACTTTTCGGAGTGTTGCAGTCCCAAATATTGGGCTGCAGGACCAACTATCAAAGCTGATTTATCTGCACGTGTGGATCTTATTCCAAATTTGTTGGATGTTCAAATCACGAGACCAACTAATAAAGCTGATACGTCAATGACTCACGTTTATAGAATTTTTGGCAAATTCTCAGCCATCAACGGGTTTGATAAGCCTTTACCGACTACCGTTTGAGTCGGGCTAGCATGCAGATTGTTTAGACCCGTTCTGCACGTAACGTTGTGCTAAAAGAGTTAACTCTTTTAGTGCTACGATATTGAATACGTAGACTTTGTCTTTCTCACGTGAAAAGACTAAACGGCGACACGTATTAGGCATAGACTTTAAGGTTTTTGGCAAACCCTCATCCTTCAACGGATTTGATTAGCCTTTACCGACTACCGTTTGAGTCGGGCTAGCATGCGGATTGGCAGCGCGGGTTAAGCGCAGACTTATCCCTGCTTAGGTTTCAGGATAGAATACCCCAGAATCGAACTATGGTGTCTTTTTCTACAGAGAAAGACTAAACCGGCAGCGCGTGTTAGGCGCAGACTTATCCCTGTTTAGGATTCGGGATAAACTTCCTAGGATGAATCCTAGATTGATAAATTCTTGGAAAAGGTTGGTGTGGGAAAGGAAGAATTTTATATTCTATTTTCCGGTCTTCTATTAGGCTATTCCTTGATTCTGGAAAGGAAGAATTT